GGTGTTTAAGAAGTTTTTCAAGTTTGTTTTGTGTGAAGAAGTTTTCACAAAGAGGAGGCTTGCATTTTCAATTTGAAGAATTCAACTTCATCTCTTCATCTATATCTGTTTGTGATTTTGGAAAAAATTTCTCAACTCAATTATCTAGCTTGTTTATACTTAAATTATTATATTTATATTTGCTAGATTAATTCGAGTTTTATTTTATTTTACTCTTTGTTTGCACACACAACCTATTGAGCTTTTAGTATTTCACATATTGTATAATTTGAGTTGTGGGAGTTGTAACATTGAGTGTGAGCTTAATTGAGTTCTCATCTTGTTAGAGGACAAAAAAATTGTACTTGAGCTTAATTGTGAGATCACATTGTAATACACAAGTACATCGAGAGGAGTGTGTGGTGAGAGACGGGGTCAATTCCAAGAGGCGTAACGTCAGTAGTAAAGCCTAGGGAGAGATGGTAAATCCAATCACTTGAGGAAGGTGACACATGAGAGGCCAACACTTAGAGGGTGTATTGTGTGATTACAATTATGTGAGTTGTGAATGTTTTTGGTGAGCTAAAAAACCAATTGTGTAAACATTTTCGGTGAACGTTGAAAATCGGTGGCGATAGTGGTGTTTCCCCCCGGAGTGGGGAGTGGAGACGTATGTTGAGAGTGACCGAACTCCGTGATCATATCGTGTGTTTGTATTGTCTATTTGCGCACTATATATTTTGCATTTCAATTCATGTTTATATTACCCTTTGTTTATGTTACATATTCTTGCTCATAATTTGTTGTGTATCATATTTACAAGAATAAATTGTTAATTAGTATTAAATTGACATTAATATCAGATTAGATTAGCAAATATCCTATTCACCATCCTCTAAGGTAATTTCATAAACATGCTAGATAATTGAGTTTAGAAACACTTTTCTAAGAACAAGTGAGGGGGATTAGAAGATTGAATGCTCAAACCGAAATTGATCTCCTCCCTTTGTGAAAACCTCTTCACATAAACAAACTTGAAAACCACACTTAAACACCCTTAAGCACTTGTAAACTTGATTTAAAATTTTCTTAGATTACACCAAAATGTTGAGACTGAAGGGCTATTTATAAGTTCACAAAAAAACCCAAAAACTAAGAAAATCCAAGGAAAAAGTCGAAAACCTAAAAAATCAGCAAAGCTAGAAAACTAGCTGTTACAAGGTCATCAGTCAACTAATGGTACTGTTCAGTCGACTGATGAGCTAACCATTAGAGGCCACTCATCCTTCATCGATTGACTGATGACCTACTTCGGTTAACTGATGGTTCATCCATCAACTAAGCAGAAACTTTTCTACTTTTCCAACATGTTTTTTCGGTCAATTGATGATCCTCATCAGTCGACTGATAACTGGCATATGAAATTTTATGAACAATAAATTTAAACTTTGAACCCCCTTTAAAAAATAGCAAATAATTTCCAAAAAATGTAAAATTTAGGAAAATATTTATAAACATGAAAATAAACATGTTACAAAAGAAAATTTTAAATTATCATTTTTTTGTTTGTAAAAACTCCTCATTTTGTAAAAACTCAAAAATACATGTTCATTTAAACACTTGATTTTGACATTATGACTTAAACCAAGTTATGAAATCTTTTTGAATTGATTTGTAGACTTAATAAAGGATGTATATAAGGATTATTTTGTCCATAAACGAAGAACACAACATTTTCTCAAAAATACCTATATTTTGATAAAACCAAGAATGTGTGTGTGTAAAATTAAGCTTCAAGTATTTACACATAAAATATAACACCTAAACTAATATACCCAAGTTTATGATCTCTCGTTGAAGCTCGATCTTGGAAGCGGGAATGAAACTTGATGATGTGTTGACTTGAATGCATAGCTTCATTTCTATATCCTCTATCCTCCAAGATATCGTCGTTAAGCTCAATTCCATCTAACCTCTAACATCGATGTTTATGTAGATTTCCTAACAAATTAACAAATGCAAACACTAGGCACATGATGTTAGGAATTATTTGTTAATCATCAAAACTAGATTAGTTAGTAGTCTCATAAATATGAGACCCAAAACTGCTTCAGCCCAAGTCTTTTGACAAACTAACTTTCAACAACATGCAACGAGCTCTCTCAAGAAAAGTCTCATTCATCCATGGTCCAATGTCTAACTATGTCCTCGTTTTGTAATGGTGTGTATCGCATGGTCCAATGTCTAACTATGTCCTCATCCTTACAGAATTCATCAAACTCCGTAGAGAAAAATTTCAATCCATTATCAGTTCTAAGCCTCTTAATTTTTCTACCAGTCTACTTCTCAATCAATATCTTCCATTGCTTAAAATGCTTGAACATTTCATTCTTGCATTTTACATATAACCCAAATTTTTCTTGAGTAGTCATCAATGAATGTTCGCCCTTCGAAGGAACACGCGAGGGACCCCATAAATCAAAATGGATGTAATCCAAAGTGCTTGTGATTCTATGCACAGCTGTACTGAAATTAACACACTTTTACTTGCCAAGAATGCAATGCTCACAAAAATCTATCTTTCCTATACTCTAACCACAAAGAAGTCCCCTCTTGCTGAGTATAGTCGCACCCCTCTCGCTCATATGACCCAATCTCATATGCCACAACTTGGTGGCATTGGTCTCTTACAATGACGATGTACTAACTTCAGCAGCACTTATAACTGTCTTTTCCAACAAGATGTAAAAATATTTTGAACCATTTGCTTTCATGATGGTTAGAGCACCTCTGGAAACTGTCAAAACTCCACCTTCAACCAAATGCTTGCACCCGTTAGTTTTAAGGGTGCCAAGAGAGATGAGATTCTTAGTCAAATCTAAAACATGACGAACATCTGACAATATCCTCACAATATTGTCATGCATTCTAACTTCAGTTGTACCAATACTAACCACTTTACATTGAGAATCATTTCTTATAAGGATCACTCCACCTTCAATTGATTTGTAAGTGGAAAACCAATTTCTACTGGAGCACATGTGATAAGTATAACCAGAGTCTATGACCAAATCATCCTTGGATCTACCTGAATTTGTAGTCAAGAGAACAAAACTATCAAAATCATCTTCAACAAAACTAGACTCCGTAGAGTCTTCTTTGACCTGATTTTACTTTTTCTTTATTCTGAAGCTTCCAACACTCATTTATGACATAGCCTTTCTTCTTGCAATAGTTATAAAATCTGCTCTTAGTCTTCGACTTGAATGTCGACTTGTTTTATTGTTAAAACCACTCTTCATGTTTCAACGTCGAACATGTAGGGCTTTGACTTTACCATAACTAGATCCAATCAACTTTTTATCCATCAACTCTTTTGAGATAAAAATGATTTCACATCTTCTATCGAAATAGTTTCCTTAAAGTGCTTGTAAGGGGGCGGTATTGAACATAACAATAACAAAGCCTGATCTTCATCTTCTAACTTTACATCTGCATTCTCAAAATCTATAATAATAGAATTGAATTCATCAAGATGTGATTTAATAGATGTACCTTTCATCATACAAATCATAAACAATCTTTGTTTCAAATGCAATCGGTTGCTGAGGGTTTTTGTCATGTAAAGAGATTCTAATTTGAGCCATAGACCCGCTGTGATTTTCTTATGCATGACTTCTCGAAGAACCTCATTAGACAAACACAATTGGATTGAAGTTAATGCCTTTTCATCCATCTCAGACTTTTCATCATCTGTCATCAATGCCAGCATCTTATTTTTTCCCAACTAAGCTTTCTGTAATCCTTGTTGAATAAGAATAACCTGCATCTTCACTTACCAAAGACTGAAATTGATATCATTGTTGAACTTAACAATCTTGTACTTTTCAGAAATCTTCTTTGCGCACAAAACATGCAAATCACAACTAAAGCTCTGGTACCAAATTGTTAGAACAAGTGCACAATAAAGTAGAAATAATTGTGAAGAACAAGCACGAGAATAAACGACAAGCAATCACAAACTAGAGATTTACGTGGTTCACCCAATTTGGATTATGTCCACGGCATACATGTCAGAGAAATTTTATTATCAAAAGAAAAAGAAGTACAAGAACAAGGCAATAGCATAAGCACTCAATCTCTTCTTTTCAAAACTCTCCTAATCTCATGATACAACCCTAATCTAAACTCTCTATTTTAATATCTAGGAGAACACAATAGATCAAGAAAGATGTATCCAAAACTTGGAAGAAGTTAGAGATTAAAAGAAAAATGAACGGGTGAGATTAAATTATCAAAACTGCAGTCACCATCATAACCATCAATGGTCAAACACGACCATCGATGATCTCTGCAGTCCATTGATTGTTTCCTATAGTCTATCGATGGTTCAAAATCTTATTTTAGTTTTTCTCCAATTGTTCACTCTAAACCATCGATGATCGAAGTGACGATGGTGTCCTCTTGACCATTGATAATTCTTTGACTGAATTGAACAATTAAAGGGTTTAATTTTGAGGCATAGTTTCAACAAATCCTTATCTTATTATCTGCTATTTTTTTCTCTCTTTCCATTTGCTCGATTGAAAAGTAAACTCTCTCTACAATTGTTTGCAATATGCATGATCTGACTCTGTTAATGTTTGTTTAAGTCTATGATCCAGAATTGTTGTAATTCATTTCAAATCTAACATTCGTCGTGTTAACTCACACATGTTTATTATACAGGTATGGCCACGTACAAGAATAGTGGAGTGTAGGCCACACAAATGGAAACTTAAAGCAAAATATAGAAAACACAATTATTCACTAAATAATAGTTAATTGTAACTGAGTAAGCTTAACCTCTCACAGTATTTTGACATTATTAGAAAATACGATGCCTTTAATGCAATACTCAAATCTATCGACACAACTGCCAACTATTTGCTGCTGATGCATCCCAATCCTTCTGTATATATAGTGAACAACTAGCAACAACTTTGTTTATCCAACAAGTTTCAAAACAAGAGAATTCGACAATGTCGTGGGAGAACTACGATCCGTGTTTCCCCGATCAGCCGGTGGTCGACCTCTACCTCCCGATATGGGCAACCCAGCCCGCTTTCCAATCCAAGCCTGCTTTCATTTGGGCCGCCGCCGACGATTCCGCTCAATCCACCATCGCATACTCCTGCATCACATACTCTCAGCTCAACTCCTCGGCCCAATCCATTGCAAACAAACTCCTCTTCCCTCTTCAGAGAGGCAACACTCTCCTCGTCCTTTGCTCTCCTGGATTAGTCCTCGCCAAGATCCTCTTTGCTTGCCAGCGTGCAGGTGTCATTGCCATCCCCGTGGTCCCTCCGAAAACCTCATCATATCATCACTTATCGAGGGTCATCAACCAGACCAAGCCCAAGGCTGCTATCGTCGATGATGACTGCATCTCCTCGATGGCTGAATCCTACCCAGAAATCTTATGGCTCTCTGTGGAGAGCCTGGACGAGAACTCACATGAAATGTATCGTAGTGATAATTACGCTGGGTGCCGACCCCATGAGCCGTACCTTGTACAATACACATCAGGCGCCACTGGGATACCAAAGCCGGTCGTCGTGACTGCTGGAGCCGCAGCGCACAATGTCAGAGCAGCGCGCAGAGCATATGATCTCCATCCGAGTAGCGTGATCACGTCGTGGCTGCCACAGTACCATGACTGCGGCCTGATGTTCCTTCTTTTGACAATTGTTTCCGGTGCGACGTGCGTGCTTACTTCTCCAGCTGCTTTCTTGGCCCGGCCTCGTCTCTGGCTGGAGCTTGTCTCCGAGTTCAAAGCGACATGTACACCAGTGCCATCCTTCGCTCTGCCACTGGTGAACAAGAGAGGCGGGATCGATAATGGAGATTTGTACCCGTTGAGGCCTGGGGAAAAAAAAGAAGCTTTGCGGAAGCCTCGATCTTAATTGAACGAGCGCGATATTACATCGCCGTTGATGAGTTTATTGATGAATTCAAGCGTGTTGGGTTAAACCCATGTTCAATCTCTCCATCGTACGGGCTCGCGGAGAACTGCACATTTGTCTCCACAGCTTGGCGGCAAACGAGCAGTTCAAACGTGCCGGCTTACAACAAGCTCCTGCCTTCCGCAATGCTCTCATTTGAAGAAGAAGAAGATATCAGCATTATCATAGTCAATGAAGAGACGTTCGAGCCAGTCGAAGACGGAGTCGAAGGAGAGATATGGGTCTCTTCTTCGAGTAATGCGGTGGGCTACCTCGGATACCCGTCCTTAACACGAGAAATATTCAATGCCAGGCTCATTGGAGTGACTGGCCTCCGTTTCATAAGGACAGGCGATAGAGGAGTCATCAAAGGTGAAGACCGATACCTCTATGTGACTGGCCGTTCCTCTGATGTAATCATAATCGATAATCACCGAGAAAACATTCACTCTCACTACCTGGAGACAGCGGCGTACAGGAGCAATGCAGAGCATCTAAGAGGCGGATGCATTGCGGCGTTTGCGTTGGCAAAGATGGCGGTCGTGGTGGCAGAGGTGCAGAAGGGAGGAAGAGATGGTGGTTGTTTTAGGAGGATATGCGAGGGGATAAGAGAGGGTGTGATGAGGGAAGAGGGTGTGAGAGTTGGGAGGGTGATGTTAGTGAAGAGTGGGAGTTTGCCAAAGACAAGTTCTGGCAAGCTTAGAAGGTTTCTAGCGAAGGAGATGGCGGCGAGGGGAAGGTTTCAAGTGGTTTACGAGGCTTGGTTTGAGGAGCCTGTGGAGAATTTGAAGGTAAATGTTGAAGAGATTGGTGAGGACGGCGAAGGTTTGGAGTTGGCCGGTGCCCGTCACCGGCTGCAGTTGCAGTCCTTAATGTGATTATAAGTAGTCTTACTTCACAAATTCAGTTCAGGCTGTTGGCTACCTATGTAAGCTTTTTTGAGAATAAGTCGTAGGATATTGTAAGCAGGATGTAAACCCTTTCGATGTTTACTATTATGACGTTACTGGTACCGATTTGCCTTTGCCTGGATTCTTTATCCTACATTGTCTGAGTTGTAGGACAAATGCTACCCTCAAAAACTCCTACTAAAGTGTTCATGTGTTATAATTGAATTTCAATTCAACATTGCTGTGCGTATAACTCGATTTTGTAATTGGGTTAGCTAGATCATCCAACATCCGCTAACTTGACTCGGAGGTAAGCCCACTTAACTTGCTAAAGTATGAATCTGCAGTCAGTCTAATCTAACTAGGTCACAACTCTAAGTCTGACCCGTAAGCGTGGCCAGGTAGCCAAGGCCCATAACACTTGAACTATTTTCAGTTTGGATATCAGGCCTTGCTCAGCTCGAAATAATCTTATGGCTGCCATTCTGATCAGAAATGATTGATTCAAATCATATCATATCCTTAACTTATCAACTTGGGAGATATCAGTCAATAGCCAAATCTACCTGATCGTCATATGATATCAGAGGAATACTCCCCCACTAATGAGTATTGACACGTGAATTTACTTGTCAGCAAGGTAAATGTCATAACTGTCTCGACCGATAGGATGGTGACAGATGTATCACCCGACCTGCTCAGGCAATAAGTACGCTGACCGACCCCAGTTAAAAGCATTTATCTCATATTCTTTATAATTGTGCATTTGGAACTGAATTAGCATAAGCGCCTACAATCTTAAAGAAGAAAATAGAGGAAAAAACCTATAAGAAATTTGTCTGAAAATTTCTAAGAAGTCCTCTTACGACTGCTGCCAATCTGCAAACCTAGTGATGATTCCTCAAAAATGGCGACCGGACTCGTATGAATTTTTTTTTTCATTTGTGCGAAACACAACATCACCACCACCAACAACAACAATGCAACGTTTACCTTATTTTTGGATTTCCCTTGTATTCAGTTCATACATGAACAGCTGGTTTCTACTCCTAGATGAATCCATCACTTCAGTTACTTTTTTTGTTTTAACTTTTGTGAAACAATATGATAGTTTTATCGGTAAATTAGATCAAACAAATCTTATAGATAATCTTATTTTTACATTGTGTTTTTTAGATATTAGTCCCTTAAGAGGATTTAAATCATAGATATCCTGATATTAGTCCCTCAAACCTTCATATTTTGATATTAGTTCAATCAAATACCATTAGTGTTTTGATGTTAGTGTTTGCAGTTAATTGGTGTTGTAACTTTGGGAGAAGATTCCGTTAACTCTAACTTTTTGATAGATCGACCATTATACCCTCAGATTATAAATCGAAACTCATTATCTATTTAACTCATACATATATTAGAAACCTCAAACCTGTTTAATCACAAATCCATACTCATTTCAACCCCACATCTTCTTCCTTTCATCCCCTTAATTTCTAAACAATTTATCCACCTCAACATCTTTCCAGTCTCACCTTTTAAACAAAGAAAGAGGAATATAACGTAAAATATTTAAATCAAAAGGGCAATAAGCTCTTACATAATGAGTGCTATCTCGAATTCAAAACACCTTATCTCAAGCTCATCTTGTGTGGCTTCTCCCCTCATAATCATCTTTATAATTCTAAGATCAAAAAAATCTTCTCCTCCTCCCTCTTTTATTGCACAAATCACGACAACAAACACTTAGCATAATCAACAACATGTTCAAGCTCAAAGATCCCAACCTTTATTATAGAATTAATTTTTAATATGCCGCCTCAAGCAACTACGTACCCAACAAATCCTTAATAAAATTGCGGTCTCAGCTTGTACCCTCATCAATAAAACTCCTTGCAACCTCTCAACAAACCTTCAATGAGATATCAGGTTGAAACTGTGAGCAGTGGAAGAAGTGGTGGAAAGTGATCGAAAGAGAAAAAAAATGTATCTTGAGGGAATTAGAACAAGGGTTATTTGGTAATCATCCATCCATGATTACCAATAATCTAACCATGATTAAGTTATTTGAAAGGAAAAGTTAACAGATGGACTACTGTCAACACACAAATAGTATCTGAGGAACTAATATTAAAATATAAAGATTTGAAGGACTAATATCGAAATACCTCTGATTTAAGGCACTAATATGTAAGAAACGTCTCTTTAACTTTAATATCCAAAGTACCAGCCTCCTTTGTTTAAAGTTGATATCCTGAAGTTTCGTATCATATATGATGAAGGTTAACTTGACTTTTTGATAACCAAAATCCTGTCTTTGTTTCTTACACTCTCCAAACTCAAAAACAGAAATTAATTAGATTAGAAAATTTGTTCCACTTTCCTATGTTCAACATGAGTGGATAGAAACTTTGGTGGACCATCCACTTAAGTTGACATAAGAATTTCTC